TCTCCCCCATTGGGAGGGCAGATCAACTCTGAGAGGAGGCACTCAGCTGCTGGTTTTGATCTTGCTCGTTCCTTTACGGAGGCCTTTTTGAGAGAGAAAGGGAACAACTTGCTGTCAGAGTCACAGAGAAGGGGGAGGGAAGGACATCACGATGCAGGTGTTCAGAGTGCACTGCAGCCTCAGACTGGCAGAGCTTTTTGAGGAAGTCACGCCATGTGAGTAAAATGTTATCCGAGGACACAAAAATGCAACGCAAGACTTTCTTATGTCAGTCTTGAAGACTTTACAGAAATTCAGATCATTTTGTTGACCTTGGAAAGGCAATTTCATTAATGTTCTGGTTATAACTCTTGAGCCACGGACGGGCGTAGAGTTGTTTTTCTATGATCCTAAATGTGGAGTACCAAAACACCCCATGTGCACACATTTAACAGGTTTCTCAGGATAATCCTAATTTCATATTGAATCCCATTTACTCTTCATTAAGAGGAGCTGAATGTGATCAGATAGCTCTTTTCGTCATGTGCTGTTTTGTAACGTGTGATTACCTGCACAAATACAATTCTATTAGTCACAGGTTTATTCGGCGCTGAGCTGGGGGCAGAAAGTGACAAATGGAGCCGTCTCAGACTGATCCTGGCTGATGGCTTGATGGGATCTCTCCCCGCGTAACATCTGGTGATGGCGATAAGTGCTGCTCCCTGTAGGTCTCACTGTTTGACGGCTTTCACTCAATGCCAGATGAGAAGATGTGTTGTAGTAATGCTTCGAGCACCTTTGATATGTAGGTCTGTAGATACAGGAGATGATAGTGCCGCGGATTTACACACATCCTCTCTTTACTTTGCATTTAGAAAACGTAAAGGCCAGGGATTTCCATTTAATAACCATGCACAACATGGCTTTCTGCTGTTTTATAAAATAACACATATTTAAAGTATACTTCTTTCGGCTGAGACAGTTTGGATATGTATGGCCTAAATTAAGTTACTAATGGTGTGATGCAGTAGGAGCATTGGCTTCTAGCCAGCAGGACATGAATTAAGATATATTTACAAGCCTTGGATTAATGTAGGCACTTTCACATTTCCAATACAATACTGGAACTAAGTATATACTAGTATAAGTTAACAGTAATGTGGTGTTTCCATGAAGATTATTTAACTATTTATTTCATTTTGTTGATAGGTCTGTCTTCACAACATTGAGAAAATATGTTTTATAATTGAGTGCAGGTTTTGATTATGGTGAAAAACTTAAAATAAGTTTTTTATTATAATACAATAACATGATAATCGTAAGCTTGTGAAATGTTGTTTGAGCTGAACATATTTTACGATTGATTTATATGCAGTGAATGGTTGCAATACATATTTTTGAACACCATGTGACTCAATGTCTTTTGTTGTAAAACTATGTATGGTAATATACATTATAATATTCTTTGATGTTTCACCACAGTCTGAACTTGCTGTGGACAGTGGGATATAATTGAGATGTTCCAGCAGCATCTCTGGACACCTTTCCCCCGAGCAGCACCTGTCAGCTGCGATCCTGTGACAGCTTTCACCACACACCACCTGTCGGCAGGGTGGAGAGAGAGTGTGTCACCGGGAGCGACACCTCAGGGATCTCTACGGTCAACTCTCCATCCCACAGAACCATCCAAGCAACGAGGAGACTGCTGTAGTAGGTCAGAACAGGGATAGGTGCCACAACTAAATGGAAAAGCTGCCAATGTGTTCTTCAGGATAAAGTGAAGATTGAAAGAGAGAATACCCAAAGAACATGAGGAATGCACAACCCAAAAAAGTATCCCTGTTATCCCTTCCACACACAAAGGATTGGACTCCTTTGTTTACATCCGTAACACAGTGACATCATTATTTAACACTCATGCTTCTATTGGCTAGTGCTCCAACACATTGTCCGTGATCTCTAAGCGGTTTAAACATGTCATAGTAGAGGCACACAATACAAATATGAACCTGGAAAGGAGCATAACATTTAATTTATTTTATTGAATCTTAAAATGTATGATTATTTTCCTTAGGGTTTACGATACAATGTAACAAACGTTCTGGTGTGTTAAGAGAAAAGTGCGTCGAATAGTTTTACCTAAAGTTCTACCTCAAAGTTACTATTGATATTTATGAAAGTACATTTTCCTCAAACACATATGGTAAAGTTTGCTGTGTATCCTAATCCTTGGTGCTGCTGATTATACAAATGAACTTCCGCAAAAGTGTGTAGCAATTAACTTGAGGTCTAAACTGGGTCCATTATTAGTGAGTAAACGACTTAACTGGCGGAGGATGAATTAAAGATTAAATGGGCCAGAAAAGTATAAAATGTCTCCTTGAACCTACACTGAAGATGAATCGCACTCGTTCTTGTTTTCTTCGACTAAACAGGCAATTAGGCCACCACAGCTTTCAGCCTTTTCCCCCTAATTAAATGCATCAATTCAGACCAAACGAAGCTCCACACACACTATGTAGTAGATGTAGATGACCATTACATGTATGATCTGTATGTGTAATGTGTATTTGTAAAGCGCTTTGAGAGTCTTTGATAAAGCGCTATAATAAATATAAGGATTATTATTATGCTTTTTGACTCAACACATTTTGCATTGCACGAAAAAACACTTGGCAGCAATTGCTTAATAAAGAGCAGAGGCATTGAACAGTACACAGTGAAACATATTTCACCTTAATTGGAAACACAGATTGCCTTATGTTCAAAAGCAAATCTAAATTAAAGACTTTTGTTGTCACATGCTCTCATTTTAAACTAAGCAGAGATTATCAGAGTGAAAAACGAAGAAAGTAACTTTTGAAAATGTCTGGTTGCCCTCGCTAATTAGGAGCTCTGTATATAGACCCACGCTCCACTGAGGACACACACACACACACACACACACACACACACACACACACACACACACACACACACACACACACACACACACACCACACACGCACACACACACACACCACACACACCACACACACACACACACAACTTGTTCATCCATACACACACACACACACACACACACACACACACACACAACACCACACACAACACACACACCACACACACACACACACACAACCCACACACACCACACACACTTGTTCATCATACACACACACAACACGCTTTCCTATATTGTTTACACATTCCCCCCGAGATTTGACTTTGCAACAGAACAATATCTGAACGCCGTGAAGACAAACACGGGTCCTCGGGGGTCTGATTGTTAGAACAAGAGTTCTTCCAGTCGAGACATGAAAGCTCCTCGCGCGTTCAGCTCTCGTCTCCGGCTCCGCACTGACCGCAGAGCTGTTCTCTGATTCTGCGGGAAGGTCTACATCTCTCCATGCTCCGCAGAATCTGATAATGATGCATCAGGCCGAGATACTGTGACACAAATATCTCACAAACTCGCCCTCCAATGAGGCAACCCTAAAACTTCACTGCCCTTTCACAACCTTCAAATGTTGGCTGGACATAGAAATACAAGTTTATTCAAGAGAGATTGAAACATATCGGTTTTCTAAAGAAGGAAGGAAAAGAAAAACAGCATCTTATTGGAGACTAAAGTAGAGTTAAAGAAGTAAACTGGATCATCAAGCTGTAAGAGGCTGTGCATTAAAGTAATATTAAACATTTTCTTCTTGCAGGACTTAGTAATTCAAAACAAAGCAATAAAACCTTTTAGTTGTTCATAAATCAGTCTTAAGCACGGCTTCCAATGGATTATTGCATTTTCCGTGCATTCATCTGAATTGTTCCATTATGCAATTTAAATGGAAACGATTGTAAGTGATTGCAGGCTTGTATTTATAGGTACTTTATGGGCTCCATTAGGACTCAGACATTCAGATTGTTAACAAAAAGTGCTCATATTGTCTGCCTATAGCAAATGACTTTCCTGTTCCTTTGTTCTTTTGTAACAATGCGAGCTGTGCTTTTGAGCTTGTGGGTAACGCTGTATCTGATAAATGAAAAACTAAATGTAACAAAACCCCACAAGTCTTTTGTCAAGGCAGTGTTTTTATTAAAATGGGGGTCAGGATACTCAAAACAAGTAATACAGATAAATGCCAGGAGGCGTGAGATGATTAGCAAGAGAGGGAGGAAGATAAAAAACCTCTTTAAAACTATTGACGAGGAGTCGCGATTGGCTCCGTTTAAAGGGTCATAAACCAAAGGAAAGTGTGAAATGTGAATGTGGATTACTTATTGGATTCTTTCAGACTCAGTGCCCAACAATGGAAAATCAATCTTTCTTTCTCTTTACCTTTGTAAAGGTAACAATGACAGAAACACTTCCCAAGTATTGTGGGTTTCTGATTCTTTGTTTGCAACGAAGAAGCTAACCCTTACCCTAAAACAGATACATGAATCGATATTTACTTGCAACACCAAGTGGTTTGTGATTTACAGTACCCCAAAATGTGTAGTCTGAAGGACACTAGTTTTAAAGATTACGAAAGACTTGGATATCAACAGGTTCTTTCGAATATGCTCAAATATTTAAACGCCAACCTTTTCAAGAAAGTTGTTAAAGAGGACATATTATGCAGTTTTTCAGGTCACAATTGTATTTTGTGTCTCTACTGTGACATGTCGACATGCTTTAATGTTCAAAAAGCTCTTTATTTTTCTCATACTGCCTATGGTGAAGAACCTCTTTTCACCCTCTGTCTGAAACCAGAGCCCAGTCTCGAGGTTCAAGGTTCTTTATTGTCAAACTAACATAGCTACAGAGTAATTATGTCGTTGAAAATCTTAAGTCATAGGCTTCTCCAACACTGCAACACACTGCTCTGATTGGTTAGCTGGCCGGCTCTGTTGTGATCCATCAACCGCTTAGAGATGTCCCGCCCCTTAGCCTAACACTTAGAACAACGTAGAGCTGAAGTAACCCTTACCTGGTTTGGACCCTTCAGCCACGGAGCCGTTGTACACCTGGTTCTGAAACTCTGGTCTGTTGTCGTTCATGTCGATGACATAGATGTACAGATCGATTGGGTTCTCCACCTGGTTACCATTCATGTCCACTGCATGGGCTCGCAGCTGTCAATCAATGCACACAAAGACATCTCATTAGTATTCAACACTGAATATGAGCTTGTGTAAATATTCCAAGTGTAGCTCAACTGACAACAGGCTTCTGGTTTGATTGATGTGAAATTCTGCGGTCTGTCTGGACTGAAGCCAACTCAGTCAGTACAAAACTCTGACTTTATTCATTGGCAACTTCATTTAACTGGCAAATGTTGCGTTTCTTGTTTGCCAACAGGACACAAGTATCCTGTTGGTATTTTGGCACTGACCACAACAACACAGAGAGGGGCAAAATAGTGAAATGTTCCAGACGCTCCAACAACACCTATTTTGTTGTTAGCACAGCCAGAGGCCTGAGCTCAAGCTGTGACTTCTTTTTGTGCTGAGGGAATGTTTGTCTCCGGTTTGTTTTGACAAAGCCAGCCATTTGGATGGATGTCCCTTACTGATGATCTGTTCCTTGACAATTCACAGTGTGAGAGAATAGACAGAGCAAAGAGGGAGAGAATGGAGGAAATAAGAGCGGCGCATGGGAAAAAGGCGAATGAGATGGGAAGAACAGGAGGAGGGTGACTGAGCCTTGTGCAAGTAAATGAAAGATGAACGCACAACGAGGGGGTGTGGGGGCTTCAACAGGGAGGACTGACAAAAGCAATCATCATCTACAGTGGGACGTCTTAATCTCCAGCGCTGCCGTTACACACCCTCCACTCCCCACCAATCTCCACTAATGATACCTAACATAACGCAAAGCTTTGTAATAGCCCTGGAACCAAACTGGGCCCTGTTCACTGCAACTTACATTACCTTTTTCAATTGCAAAGAAATCTATATCCCCTGCGAAAAAAAATTGTATTCAATCATAGCATGGCTTGTTTAGGGGAGTAGGGCTCCCATTCTAGCTAAAATTGACAAACTGGCAGCAAAATATGTTGTCTGCCACAGCACACCAGCAGAGGAGGATCTGCCTGCCAGCCTATTTGCAAGAAGTCGTGATGTATTGTGGGCTGACATGAAGGATTGAATGGAGGCACCTGCCTTCCCCGAAACACAACTAATCATGTCGGCTTTTGTGACTGCCTGTCAAGGATGTTTCAAAACATACCCTAACACGGCCCGCTGGAGCATTCACACACACATCCAAACACCTATTCAGACATATGTTTACGCATATTAACACAGACATTGACAAAGCATGAGGATACGCTCCGGGTGGAGATGCACACAGCCAATCAAAAAGGCCCTCTTTAGCCACTTAATGATCCTCAAGATGCTAGTTTTCCATTGGCTGGAGCACAACAAACAAACATGGAGAGGACAAACAAGCCCAATCTGTTTCCTCAGCTGCGAATAGTGCACAGTGAGGGGTCTGTGATTGTGAAATGTGGGGCTGCCTCAGTGTGTGTGTGACTATGTAATAATGATTGTGTGTTTTGTCTTTTCTGCCCGTGGATTTGTGTGTCCCTAGTTGCTTTTTCGAATTTCTACATGTGTACATATCTCTATATTTGCGTGTCTGTGTGTGTCTTCCTGTGAGTGTGTGCACTGGAGTCTGTGTATGTATATCTGTGTGCTCGATGGAGGAAATGGAAATGTGATCTAAGGGCCTGGAGGGGTGTGTGCGTGTCGCAGACTGCATTATGTGTGTGTGTGAGCTAACATCAGTATTCTGCAGGGTGAGCTTTAGTATGACTGGACTGACCACAGAGGAGAAATACAGTTTGTATTCGGCCCATTGGTCCCCTTACCCAATATATAACCACACATGGTACTTCCAGAAGTCCTGGAGGATTTTATACTGTATAAGGCAGTTTTATTTCTGCTCAAATATAGTAGCTATTGGTGCTTATGCCAATGTATACGTACTTATGTGTAACGATACACCCATTAAAGGGGTACCAGAAAGGACACTATAACGATTTGTTTGTCTATATTTTATTAAGATGGCAGTGAGGCTCTCTAGAGGCAATGTCTATCAGTTGCATAGCCCACATCTAATGGGTTGTTAAAACATTTAGACTGATTCTAAGAACATTTAAGATCATAAAGTACATCCTTATGAATTTCATGATATTTGTTTCCTTTAACACCAGCAGGTAAAGTTGATTCCCCTGACACTTTACATTTGAATCTCAATTTGTCCAATATTTAGATTTTATGGGCACATATCTGAAAGACTAATGACATTACCATCACCCTCAGCTGTGCTTCATTTTGAATGGTAATAAACAAATGTTGTTATGCTTAGAGGCTGACATAAGTATAACATGGTGAACAATATGTCTGCTAAATATCAGCATGTTAGTAGTGAAGTTCAAATGAAGCTATAATCTTGATTTATAATTAAATTAAATAATCAATATGATTTTACCAATCATTTTTTTATGTAACTGATTGCCTGCGGTCTGCGCTATACTGGCTCAATAGTTTTAAATATAATGATGTCCATTAAGTAAAATTAAGTCAATATAACTTATTAAGCATAAACTACCCACACAAACGGAAACATAGAACAATTTAAGTATAATAAATCTGGATGACAAATTAAATATATTTTAAGAAATAGTTATCCAGGGGAACAACTTCCACCAAACTGATAGGTATCATCTGTGTAAGACAGATATAAACACCCTCACTAGAAACTAAAGAATATGCATTCACACAAACAAAAAATCACAGATTCCTCATATTTGCTCAATTCTCCTCTTGCCCGGCTGACTCACGGCAGATCCGTCTGACAAAACAGAGGCTCAGGCGAACGCCCACTCCCCTAACCTCGCAGAGCGCCTCCCCATGGTGCTAGTCTGTCAAAAACAGCAGCCTCGTCTCTCTTTTCACTTGAACCCACAACTAACAAGCAAAGTTTGGCCTGTGAGAGAGCAGCAGTGGGAACTTCCTGTTAAGTTGAAAGAAAGTAAGCAATGGACTAAATTTCCCCTGGGTCAAACTCTGGCTGCATTCTCCAACAGCAAATCATACATCCCATCACAAGCAGCACGGGTCCACGGAGTCTGAATAGAAGCCACATTCAACTTGAAGTGCCCTCAACCTAACATGCTGTTTTAACTACAGGCAGTGTCAAAAAAGAACTGTTTATGGAGAGGCTGTCCTTTCCCAGGGACCAATAGCTGAGCTGCTTTATTGATCCCAATTGGGTGGTTGAGAGTTAGAGCGGGACTGTGAGAGGACAAACATGGAGCAGCAACCAAAGCCTGTAAGGTAACGAGAAGGGCAACAAGAGGCTCATCTGAAACTAACTGGAACACAGACACACACAAGTACGGGACAAACCAATCAAGAAGCCAATCATCTGAGGCTTTGTGTTTTCTTATAGTCGTCGCACGTCCCTCACGTGTGCATTGGTGTTTATAATGTGTGCATAGTGCTCAGAGAGTGCGCTGACAGAGATCCACTCTTCTTTATTCTATTCTTCCTCCGAGACAGCAGCGTGCTTTTGAATTAGCTCTATCAGCAGCGCAGCCATCTATCATGCTGACAGGCACGCGGTGCTGTGAGTCTGACACCAGCGCTCTCCTCGAGTGGAGGTGTTAGTCTTTGCTGATATTAACTGAAACCCGTCATGTGTGTTTATGAACCAATGGCTCCAGCGTTAACACAAGTCTCATGTGGTCTGAATCTTTAATTCACACGTTCACAGAGCTGTTTAACCCCAGGTTCCAGAGGGGCTGGTCCTGAATTCAAACCCCCAGCCTAATTCCTGTGTGTGAGTGTATGAATGTGTATGTGTGTGTGTGTGTGTGTGTGTGTGTGTGTGTGTGTGTGTGTGTGTGTGTGTGTGTGTGTGTGTGTGTGTGTGTGTGTGTGGTGGGAAGTCCTACAGGGTATATGCTCTGCTAAGTGTACAGCTGTCAGCCTACACCTTTGAACAGCACAGCTGCAAAGAGCAAAAGAACGACATGTGAGGGTGGTGAAGTGAAACGGGGAACAGGAAAGTGGGGAGCACAAACAGAAAGTGAGGAGAACAGAGAGACCCCATCGTCCTGTCCTGAGAGACACTGCAGGGAAAACATGCTGTATTCAGGCAGGTTATATTTGAGAGTTTGACAATAGTGGGCTATTGAGCTTCCATAGGATAAACGTAGCATATTTACATTGAGGTGTTTATTTGACTTACTTTGGATATTACCGATCTTAAGATTTGTTCCTAATTCTCAAAAAGGCAACATTAGATAATGCCTCCTTTACGAATAGAACATTTCAGAAAACAACATAAATTGTCTTATTTATATAATCAACCAGGGAAATGTCTTGTGATATCTATTAATTATAGATTGTTTACCCTTTTCATCTGTAATGACTGTCATTTTACAGTACACGTCTTTAAAGGCAATTTTTTTAAATGTTTATTGTGTATTTTTATCATACTTTGAGCCTGAAATCTCCACTTCAGTAGACATCAAACTTTCCAGTTTCATTTCTATCTTTAGTCTAAAGATTGTCACAGAATGGGTTGTTCATTTATCCTGCATTGCCTTATTTATATTACAATTAAAAAACACAAGGATCTTTTTTACAATTCTGTGGCAGTATTTCTTATTCATGTAATGATACAAAGAGAATCCAAAATTCCCCATGGTAAAAATATTTGACTAATATCTCAATTAAACCTGACTTTATCCATGTTCATATTATTTGTTCCAGAAATGCATGCAAATCAGCACATTACATTACATTACATTACATTACATGTCACTTGTTAGACGCTTTTATCCAAAGCGACTTACATACTCAATATTGTGGGCAATCTCCACAGGAGCAATTTGGGGTGAAGTGTCTCAGGGACACAAGGACATACTGACTGCAGTGGGGTTTGAACCTGTGACCTCCTCACAACCCACTGCACCACAGGCCTCCCTACATATATAAGAGACTGCCTCATATGCATATTTAAACATGCATCAAAGTAATACTAACTGTTATTGCTTTTGTGTTAAAGTAATCAACTGGAAAAGTTTCATGGTGCTATCTTGGAGTTGAAATCTTTGCCCTATTCACCAATAAAGTATAAACACATCATGTATCAATCAGCATTCAGCACATGTTCGCTCACACTTGAAGCTGCAGCTGCTCATTAGCTCTGATGGTGAGAACAAAGACAACAGTTTTCCTGCACTCCACCTTGGATCTGTCTCTTCTTCCCTCTGTTCTATCAATCCTGCGCTCCCTGCACAGTTAAACCTCAATATAAATGCCAGCTGAAGTGGCTGTGTGTTTTGTCAAGGCATTCACTGCTGGCTCGGGCATCAATCAGAGCCTGGAGGTGCCGGTGTGAAGGGGGCACTGCTCTCTGAATGCGCTCTGACAGGGTCTATTTTCAGCAGGCAACATTAGCGTTAGAATAAAAGGTAAGACAGGGGAAGAGAAACGGCGAGGCGGCACATTTCCACAGGGGTAATGAGGAGATGATAATGAGATGGACGTTAATGGAGCTAGAGTGGAAAGAGAAACAGACGAGACGTGCTCGTTCTTCCTTACATGGAAGGACGCTCTCTCCTCTCGGTCCAGGGGTTGGGTGACGAACATGTTGCCGCTGATGGGGTCTATGTTGTAGATCCCACTGGGGGGCTGATCAGCGCCTGCTCCCGTGATGCTGTAGCGGATGCCGGAAGCTTTGTCCTGGTCTGAGCGGATCTGAGAAGAAAAGCAGAGAAAGTTTTAACACAGAGGGGAATCAGTCTTTCGAGGCTTTTTACATAAATTGTCAGAAAGAAAAAATGCATTCTGGAATAAAAGAAGATAGAAGAGTGGGAGGACTACTGCCATCTTTCTTTTGTGCTGACGCTTTGAACCCACAGCCTGAAGGTAGAAATTGAAAATTGAACAAGGTGCAGCGAGGGAAATAGAGCCACTGTCAGGCGCTGTTGTCTGACCTGTTGAATGTGTGGTTTTCTCTACATTCTCAGCTGACATTGAACATTGTTAAAATGACCCTACCGCCAGCTGTGATGGTGTTTCTGACGTCTACCTGTCGGGATGATGTAAAAATGATTCATGCCGCTATTCACGTCTGACCAGTGCTTAATATCTCAATGTGCAGGTTTCACCTTTAACACCCCAGCTGTTATTTCTCACACAATTCAGAATGTGACATTTAAAGAGTGATGTGTTTTACTTGAAACAAGTTCCAGTGTGAGCGTCTCCGCTGCCACAGCAATAAAGAAATATCAATACTTTAGCTCTTGCTGACCTAAAAGAAGACAAAGGGAGATGGGATTGAAGCATTTCTTTCTGTGGTATTGATTTTCAGTGGGCTCCAAGTCAGCACACAATGCACAACAAGACGTTAATTAAATTGGTGGGTTTGAAAGTGTTACAATTACTAATACAAAGCCGGTCACCTCTGAACAGGTATTATTAATTCATTTATTTAGGTGTTAAGGTTAAACAAACAATATCATATTCTTAACTGAACTTTTGTTATTTTCTGTATCTATTTCTTTAACTTTCTAATCATCTGCCATTGTGTTATTGTATGTTGCCTTAATTACGAGCATAGCTTTCGACATTCATCTGAGTACAAAGAATAATTTCAGAAATGGTGTTTGTATAAAAATGCCCCTTACGATCCTAAAGTGAAATTCTGAATACATTCTAGTCTGAATCCTTTGAATGAGGTTATTTCTCAATCATCACAAACAACACGAATATTTATTAGCGCACACAGCCAATTATAAATGTGGTCATTAGTAACTATATGTTACGCTGTCAACGTTATGGTAGAATATAAAAATGACATATAGCGAGTTGAGACTTAAGATTGCTTTTATTCCTGCTGCAAAATGGCTATAAGCAGAGGACAATATTGATATTAAAAAACATCCATCCATCCATCCATCCATCTTCTCCCGCTTATCCGTGGTCGGGTCGCGGGGGTAGCAGTTCCAGCAGAGAGCCCCAAACTTTCTTTTCCCTGGCGACATCAACCAGCTCTGACTGGGGGATCCCAAGGCGCTCCCAGGCCAGCGAAGAGATATAATCCCTCCACCTGGTCCTAGGTCTACCCCTTGGTCTCTTCCCAGCTGGACGTGCCTGGAACACCTCCCTAGGGAGGCGCCCAGGTGGCATCCTAACTAGGTGCCCGAACCACCTCAACTGGCTCCTTTCGACGCGAAGGAGGAGCGGCTCAACTCCGAGTCCCTCCCTGATGACCGAACTTCTCACCTTATCCCTAAGGGAGACACCAGCCACCCTGCGGAGAAAACCCATCTCGGCCGCTTGTATAAAACATGTCAAAGCTAAATCACATTTCCCACATCTCAAACTCAGAGCTTTAATGTCAAAACATGTTTTAAAAAAAAGCTCCTTTTATGCTTTCAAGTTCACTGCAATGGTTTTTTACAGGCCTTCTTAAAAAAAGACCATCAAAGAATCTGTGGTGTAACAGAGCCGGTTGATCATTGTAAAGTATACCTTTAATCCCTACAATGGCTTCCAGTAAATCACAGAAGTGACTTTAAAGCACTGTTGCTTGTTTGTAAATCACAAAACGGGCAGGAGCAAAATGCATCTCAGATATGTTTCAGCAGAACACACGTGTCGGATCTCTGAGGGAAGTCTGTGTGTACGACCTGCTGTCAGAGCCAAACGCGGTACAGCAGCTCTGAGCTGACATTTAGGATTTTTTTCAAAAAGAGAGAATATTTCATGTTTTTTGCGGGTTCAGGGGTCGCCCCCACGTGTTTGGCAGCGACACAGCATGAGGGCCGCCAGCTCTGACCACTGAGCTATCCGGTGGTCCAATGGTTCTTGGTATCTGATTTTTGGAATAACAGAAACATGTTGTTTAATTTAAACAAACCTGTCTTATTTTAGGATAACAATTGAGCTATTACACGATTAGCCAAATACGGGAAATTCTCACGATAGGAAGCCAAAGACCCTGAAAGCCCTTCAATTCAAAATAGGGAACAGAATGCTAGCTTTAGCAAAAGCTAAATATAATGATTATAGGCCACTCAAATGTATGATGACATTTTAAATAATATAATAAATCAAAAGTAAATGATGATTGAAAGGGAGGTCTTCGCTCCTCAACTGACACAATTAGTGCCCTCGTCTCCTTGTAGCTAGAATGTAACGTTTGTTTCTTTGGTAAAAATAGCAATCTAGCTAACCAGAGACATATGAGAGCGGTTATTATTATTATGGCTTATGCGTCTCCAGTAGCCTTCTGGAACATTCTCACAGAAGATACAAACCTCACAGGACGAGTACAGAGAAACATATAGGAGTGAAGAATACATTTATGTTGTTCCTAATTGCACTGAACCAACATACTGATTGTACCACGGGGCTCCAACCGTAGCCAGCTTTAAAGATAGAAAAACCCCAACTGTCCTCAGATGCTTTTAGTTAACAGATCGTATGTTCTTTTCGGTGATTACATTACATTATGATCCCTTTATCTGCTCGTTTGTAAAGCACTTTGAACTTCCAACAAGCATGAACTGTATGAATATAAATAAACTTCCCTTTACAACCTTCTTGTGACCTTCACAGTCAGCCATTGTCTGCTTCACAGGTCGCACGTCTACGGGTTGTGAGCAGTTCAACTCTGAAGTGAGAGTTTTTATTTCTGAATTTGATCTATTTTACATCTTTTATCCTTATTTAATCTTTCCAGTGAAGACGATATCAGATTCTGTCTCTTTTTTTTCAATGCGAATGAACCATCACTATGGTTACAAGTCAGATGGAATGATCACGGAGTCAAATGGAGAAAAAAGGGTATTTTTTTCCCTTCCTCTATCTGTCTTTCCCCCTCCTATGCAATTTGCCTGGTCTGTGGGGTTGCACATCATGCATGAAAATGAAATTACTTCATCCGTTCAGCGGTGACGGAGGCGCCGGCTTCTGCATAAAACATCTCTCTGTTTGAACATGATACCCTCTCTCTTAATTTCCAACGCCTCCCTCCCACTCCCCCAGTGTGGCGCTCCGCTGCGAGCCTTCACACCCGCAATTTTCATTTCCTGAGCTCACTTCACCCGGGATCCATGGACCTCGCAGGTTCAGGTGTAACGTACAGTGTTGGTGCTCCTATCAATCAGCGCACTCTTCTGTACATGCAATCACTGCAGCGTGACAATGATACTGTATGACTAATTACATTATTATTCACAACGCCCACCATCTGCCAATCAAGCAATTTAATCGTTCACCCTCACCATCAGTGTCATCAGACAAAATAACATGGTAGAGAACAGACAGTTTGTGCGTTTCAATAATGAGACCATGCCTGATTAATTCTCTTTGTGATCTGTGTAGGAGGAGGACATGTTAAGGCCTCAGCGTTCAAAACAACAGCGTGCAATATAGAGAATTACATTACCTCAAGTACTGCACTTAAGTACCATTTTGGGCGACTTTACCTCAGTATCTTCTTGCTGCCACCACATTTTAGAATCTAATGTTGTACTTTGTACTCCTCTACATCAATTTGAGAGTTTTAGTTATTTAATAAATTAATATAATTAGCTAATTCAAAAATATAAATCAGCTAATTAATACACATTGACATATAAAATATTAATATATCCAGCAGCATTTTAAAAGGCAGTAGTGTAAAGTAATTCATTAGATTGAAATACTGTACTGAGGTAACATTTTAAGGGATGTGTACTTTACTTGAGCATTTCAACTTTTTGCTACTTCTACCCAACTATAATTGAGAGGTATATAGTGTACTTTTACTTCATTTTTGTAATACCTTTAGTTAATTTGCAGATTTGGATAAATGAATATAATCAACACTTAAATATCACTTTTATTAAATGTTTCGATTTACAAGCTACCCTGCAGCATATAAAGTAATTAAAATAATATAATAATAATAATATATACTATTCTTCAATGGGCCAATCTGCATAATGAGTACTTTTACTTTTGGTACTTTAAGTATATTTTGATGTAAATCATTTTCTACTTTGTACTCAATTTTAAATGCAGTAATTCTACAACTTGGTATTGCTACTTTCACCCAGTTATTTTGACCCCACTGCAAAACAATAAGTTATGTTGGAAATCCCATCTGCTCTAGTTGCAGGAACATACGAGAAAGTAAAATCAATTATTTAAAAAAGATCCACTCCTCAGCATTATTTTTGCATGTTGGTATTTCTTGGGTGCATAAAAGGCAGCTGCAGCCATGTTTGTGTGTCTGACAGGTGAGAGCTGCTCTGTGAGCTCAGCAGAGCGAGGATCAAAAGGACCAGCCAGCTCAATAATTAACTCCACTGTAATGCTGGAAACACGTGGAATGTTCACCTGCCACGGCTCTGTGCTTCTGCATCCGGATGTGTGCAGTGGTTGTGAGTGTGTGAAAGTGTGTGTGTGTGAGTTTGTGTGCGATCCGTCTCTTCACTGGAACTTCAAAGCTGAGCGTGTGGAGCTGGCACACTGGGAGAAATCGCCCCGAGACGAGACAAAGGAGCTTTTACACGTCATGCGGCCTCTGCTTCCTCGGCTGCTTAGAATTCCACATTAAGGCCACCTGAGACCACATGTCACACTTCCCGGTGTCTCTTAATGAAGAGTCTTTATATCAATAAATTGAATAAATGAAGAAGCACGGCTTCTTGGAGTCCTGGGAATCCCATGAGTGACAACTTCTCAATTGAGCCATTTGAATT